AAGGTTGGATCTTTTTCTGGCTCGTAAACCGCCATCAGTTGTACTTAGTAGTTTTTAGAAGAGCAAAATCGAACACACAAAGGAGTCAGACAGAGACTTTGAGCTCCCTTCTCTCATTAATGTCTAAATGGTATAGCTGATGGGCTGGGGTGTGTGGAGCTTGGCAGGGCCCAGCTCTCTGGGACTCACCAGCGTCACTTGGGCAGATGGCTGGAGGAAGCAGCTGTGACTAAGGGATATACAGAGGAGCCAAAGAGCTAGCTATGGCTGCAGTACCATGGCAAAGACTCAACTTCAAGATGGAGGCTGGGAGTGGAGGAAAGCACGGGCGAAAAATAATCGCTTTAATGTGTCTCTGTTGAATTACATCCCTCAGAAATACATTCCTGTGGTAAAGGATCTTTAGCATCTTTAACATGGGGGTTAATGGGATTTATTTGGCTTTTGGGACGAGCCTCAAGTGGACACTTGAAGAACTGCAGCTTTTATGTACTTAGGGAGAATATTTACATGGAGGTTACCTTTTCAACTGTGGTTAAAGAAAAAGGTAAACATGTGGCACAGACGGAAATAGTCAATCTCAGAGCGATGACTTAAAGGCATGGTTGACGATCGGAGAAGCAGTTGACAAAAACTGAGCCGTTGAGGCAGATTTGAAAAAAGCGTCCCACCACCCACACACAAATCTCTCCCCTCTGTGATCCACGATAACTCCCCCCTGAACCTGTATCGCCCTCTCCGCGACACACCCCCTCTGGCAGAGCAAATAAGCCAGCTGGTAGAAAATCCTACGCTAGCTTCGAATAGGATCCACCATGTCGGATTGCGAGTGACTAGCGGCAGTAAATGCCAGCTCTGCTGGCGAGTACCGTCTTCAGACCCAAATCCTGGCGGGGCTTTCTTCACCACTCGAAGGATGATCTACAGTCTATCCGAGTTAGATTCCTCGCTTGGTCACATTTTCTCTTCGTCTCCGCCCTTTCTCCTGTCGACTTGCGTTTTCTTAGCACTTTTGGCGGAGTGTTTTTTTTCCCATCCTTCTCTACGACAGCTCATGGAGCTAACGTAGTAAGCTAAAAGTAGCGTAGCAGCTGCTGCGCTACTTTTAGCCACTCAGAGCTCCGAGGAGGGCAGGGAGAGTGGGAGGGGATGAGTCAGAACTACGGGAAAGGGGTGTGTCGAATACAGCGAGGTGATTGGATGGAGAGGCGGAGCAGGAGATTGACCAATAGGAGCTGTCCAGGACGGATGGCTCCCATTGGTCAGTGTTTTTGCAGCACTGAATGGATATTTTCCATTCTTTTTTTCTCTTCACTTCGTGGAGATCGCTCTATGGCCCAAGGTCACCATAGAAACGAGGTTCATAATAATTACCAATTTCTCCAATCGTCATCCATGCCTTTAAAGGGATATTTCCTTTTTTTTAAGAGGTTGGTGTGCTGCAGGTGAAGAAATACGTATGTGCCGTGTTTGAGAAGACTGCCAAAATGAATGGACTGTCTTATAGCAAAATAGAGTGCTCGAATATAGAGTAAATAGAGCGTACATTTCAGCAAAGAATCGTAAATTTGATAAAATCAGTGAAATTTTGTCCCTTTAAAGGTCTTTGTCAATCCTCGTGAGTGTTTGTTCTTTTCAACCTTTCCATAGAATTTATTGTTCCCTCAGAAAATGACTTTTCTTTCTGACTTTTTATCAGGCTTTGAGTGTATTACCTCTTTGACTTCTCACAAAAATAGATGAAAAAAGACAGAGAGTAAACCCCGGAGCTCCGAGTGCGGAGTGCGTCAAATATGCCAGCTGTTCCACATGATCACATTGCCAAGCTTCAATCACTTGCTTTCCTTTTCTTTCCATTTTATTCATTCAAGTCTGCAAACCCCACTCCACCCCACCCCAAACCAATCCAATAACACCATCCACGAAAACTACCTCGACTAGCCTCCTTTGATATCTCGAAGCAGCACAAATATAATCCAGGAAAACTTTAGGCGCTCTCCTCATCCCGGTTGATGTGCCGTTTGGCAGGAAGGATGCATAAGAATGAGCACTTAGCAGCGTTTGGTGTCCAACTGGGGGGGGCCCCAGCTTGAGAAATGAGCTGGCATTTGGAGATAGGCAGGCGCAGACTGATGGAGTCACTCTGGGGGGTTCTGAGGGAGATTTTCATTGCTTTTCTTGGGGGGTAAATCAAGCTGTATGGTAACTGGGCGAGAGTATTAAGGGCCGGGGGTCCGTGGAGGTCTAAACTGGCATGAAATTCTTCATATTTACAGCTTTCATTTCACTTCTCACTGCAGTTCGCGGGCTTTTGTGTTGGGCTGGCCAGAGAGAGTGACACTGGGACCTCTGCATGGATGACCGCCATTGAATCTGATAAAGTCTCTAACGCTGTGGAAACTAGAAATGTATGCAAAACATCTCAAAAAACAGAAAGAAGGGTTAGCCTGATTATTTACATAAGTTAGCATGAAAGAATAGACCCCTCCCCAATAAAATGTGAGAGAATGAAGACTATAGTTTAGGGTTACCAGATTTATGGAAAGAAATCTGGGGACATCCAGGGTGTGGGGAGTGCTAAGGAAAATGGGATTTCAGCAACAACTCTGTACTACTCAGTAGCAGCACACGCCCCCCGTAAAAAAACTATTGTTCAGGACTGAGCGCAACATGCTAAACTCGCAGTTTTTACCTACTTGGCTACTGTAATAACCGTTGTTCTAGTTTACACGCAACATTTGTTTTCTCATTTATGAAATGCTTAAATCGGGGACATTTCCGGGGGACAGCTTAAGCCGGGGACAGATCATCCAAAATGGGGACTGTCCCCAAAAATTTGGGACGTCTGGTCACCTTATTGTTGTTTGATTATATGTTTGCTGGAAAGTCAAAATATTACCTTACCCATCTTGTAGCTAATTGTTGACTTAATGTAACGACTTAAATCTCATTGATATGACTTTAATCACAAAAATATCGGCTTGAATCTTGTATCGTAATTTTATTCTCCTTATATAACGAGACTTCTTTTTCATAACAATGTAACAATAATCTCGTAACATATTGACTTAGTTTATTGACTAAAATATCAACTTCAATTTCATATCGCAACAATTTTATTCTCCTTACGTAATTACTTAACCATGAGTCTCATAGTGATATGACTTTAATCTAGTAACGGTATAATTTTATTGTTAAAACAATAACTTTACTAAAACAATATAACCATTAACTCGTAATATATCGACTTTACTCACAAAATTAACTTTAATCCTGTATCGTAACAATTTCATTCTCCTGATGTCATGACTGTTATAATGATATAACTTTAATCTAGTGATCATATTATTTTAATGTCAAAATTATGACTTTTCCAAGACAGTTTTTCATGACAGTGTTCCCGTAACCTTGTTATATGATGACTTTAATCTCTTACAGTAACAGCTGCTTCCTTGTTATATTATGACAAGGAAATCAATCTCTTAACACTGAGACTTTCAACTTTATTCTCTTTATATAATAACTTTAATCATGTAACATAATGATGTAATTCTCGTAATATAATTATGACCTTACAACAGTTCTAATCTTGTAGTTTCATGACTAACACAAGTGACCATAATCTCTTAACTCTGGACTTTATTTGTTAAACATTACAACTTTTCACCTTGAAACCTCATTTATTTGTAATTAATGAGCTCCTTATACTTTCCTGTACAATACAGCGATAAATAAAACGAGTTTTCTCCATGCTAGCTCAATGAAATTCAGCGTTTTCAGGTTATTAAAGACATAAAACTGAAGCGTTTTTACACAAAAGAATATGACGCACCAGAGACATATAGACTAAAGGATGTAACACGTAACATGGATAATTAGTGAATGTATTTAGCCTTAACATTCCTGACTTAATGAAGGGTGCAAACCTGTAATGTATGCGTTTACATACCTTATTATCGCAGCAAAACTAAATACCTGAGAAGAAAGAGGCGACAAAGGGAATATAGAAAATACCGCAAAGGAGGAGGTCGTGGAAAAAGACTCTTCAGTCCAAAAGCAGAAGATGATAAAGTCCTACTTACCAATAATATATAGAATATTTTTTTTAAACTCTAAAGAAACTGAGGTGTTGAAAGATATGTTTATTACCCTTGAGCGTATTGACACAGGATGATTTTCTTCCTGAAAGTTTTGCCAATTTTCCCGAACTCCTCAGAGACAGAAATAGACACTCTGCTCATGTCTTTATGCTCAGGTACTCTGTCTGATTTGAAGATATACAAACGAACAGAAGGAGAAACGAAAACGAGCGACAAAAAAAACCCTCCAAACTCTCAGAACAACACACATCACTTCTTTCATTTTACGTCTTCCTCTCGGTTGAAAACGCAGATGTTCCCCAAAACCACGTTTGAGGTTCTTCTGGGGCCTTTTTAGGATGACAGCGTGAGTCGCTCCGCTTGAAAAACAGCCATTTCTAATTAAGCGTGCTTTCCAAATGAAGGGGTAAACAGAACCGGCTCCAAATGGTCGTCATTAGGGGGCTCGTGTTAGAACTCGCAGGTTACGCCCCCCACTCTCATTAAACCGGGGTCTACTCTCTCCACACACACACACAAATAATCAGGCAAAACAAACCAGAGGCTAGTGTTTATTTGTCGGCGTGTGAGTGTGTGTGCGTTTATGCGTTTGTGTGTTTGTCCCCTTGTGTTTATGTGCTGCCTCAGAGAACAGCCTGAATCTCATTTACAGTCTGCGGGGTCACTTATTGACTGAATCAAACCCCCCTGACAGGGCCCAGACCGAATGGAAGCTTAACAAGATTACTGTTATATATAGCAGCGGTAATGGGAACCTCTCAGGAGATCCTGGTGCTGCTGATTTGTGCCCCGCTACCCAGATTTGAGTCGAAACGCCGGCCATTCTGCACACATTCTGGCCCGCTCCGCCGGGAAACTCCTGATGCATTACGGCTGCAACGGATCAATCAATCTACCTACTCCCCGGCTCCCCCATCTCTCTGTCTGACGCCTGCCAGGACGGCCATTTCTCCGAGGAGAGGGCAGCACTTGAGGCTGTGACGCCCGTGCATGGGCCGGCCCTCTCCGTCGCGTTTCGTCCAAATCCAATCGCGCGACATATTGTCACTCTCTGGCGTGCCGGTAGTCACGTCAGGTTGAGGTAGAGGAGCTAAACAGAGGGAAAGAAGGAGGTGCGTGTAAGAAAATGCATGGTGCTGCCACGCTTGTTTTGATTAATGGACCTCTCTGTGCCCGTGAGTGACGAATTATCAGACGGCTGGATGGCTCGTTCATCACTGTCAGCCGCTTCCTGCTGGTGTGGCGTCTCCAGTCCGGCAGCCAGCGCCGCTGCCGTCTCGGCCTTATCGCTCCCACCTGGAACTGGAGATTTGGAAGAGAGGAGGCTGGAGGAAGAGGCCTGGGGGGAGTTTGAGAGGTTATGGTTTAGCGGAGACGCCGTTCAGTCGCAATCCTTGTAGAGATCGTGGTAAAGGACCTTCGCTTATCTCCAGATTTAATGCATGTTTACCTGGCGGTGAATGCCACCTTTATCACATGGTTGCAGGTAATTTGGAGAAAGACACAAAGGGGATGATAAGAGTCTTTGGTGTTTAACACTTAAAGGCTAACGGTGATATATTTCCCGCTTTGGTGATTTCACAAACAAGCTGGCTGTAAGGGTGCAAAACCGGCAAATGTTGGAACCGATCTCCATCTCCTCACCTGTCTTTCCCTCTGTGTCTCGGACTAGATGGGGTGGAGTCACATCTCTGACGTAGGACGGCGTCTTAAAGGGACACGAGACCATAGCCTACCTACACACATCCAAAACCAACTTTCATTGATTGATTTGACACCAATCATACCGATATGTACAAAATGACGTCGGTTTTTGTCGTAACTTTCAGTATCAGTAAGTTTTCGTCACCCTAGTAGTTGGTATCTTGACATAAGCGAAAGCATGAAGAGACTGGACTGTACCAGCGTTAAATTAGTCGACAAAAGCATTGACAATAACTGTGAGAAGTTCTTCACAGTCTTTAGTAGAAAGCCAAACAAAACTCCTTTATTCTCCGTTCGTGTGAAAGAGAGTGAACACATTTCATAAAGAGACGACTGATTAGAACAGCGTGAAGAAAATATCCGACAGGTCTTGGAAAATGAGGCTCCCTTCAGGGTTTAATCAGATGGTATTGTGTTGGGATATCAGATTAAAGACGAAAACATACAGGATCCGTATTTGGATCCTGTAGAGCAGCGTTTGGTATAGCATAACAAGATGCAGGTTTTGAGCGTCACAGCCCCGGTCAGTATAGAGGAAACAACATGCTCACAACAGGATGTTTTTCCTTTCTGTGGTCGATTTCCTGCTAATTTAGATATAATTCAGTGACTGTTGAGCCTCAACTATATATGACAAAGCAACGTGATTTTAAAGTTTGTGTTTTTGCAGGTTTACTCGTGTTTAATAAAGTAAATTATGTTTCTTTATGTTGTGCTGTTACCTTCAGACAGAGTTAGAAGTTAGAAGTTCTGTTGGGGTCCACATGGATCAGAGATTGACCATCGGATTGTTCTGTGTTACTGATAAATCCAGAACCAGAGAGTGTTTCTGATCTACATGAACCGATACACAGTTGGGAGTTCAAATGTGGTGTTTTATTTTGAAATTTCCCGGATAACATGATCTTCAATACTCTTCTGATACAGCGATGCGACAGAGCTGATAAGCGTCCTGTATGCGATGCTGTGTGGCTTAGAATGGAAACCTATTTGCTGAGTAATACGCGACGCTAACGATCTGCGTTAAATACGGTTCCTGTATGTTTTAGTCTTAACTCTTTGAAAAAAACAACAGAAGTTCTGTCTGTGATTCTCGCTCCAGTCAACTGATCGTTTATTTTGTTAAGCAGGAATGAGGGCTGGGCGATATGGGAAAAAGTTTATCACGATATATTTTTTTCATGTCAGTCGAAATTGATATATATCATGGTATAAAAAATGAAATTTAACAGTGTTTATTGGTAGCATGTCTTTTGCAATACAATAAGCTACTGCATCTGTGAGGTCTTTGTGTCTTTGACGCTTTGTTGTAAGGCGTTGCAATAAAGGAAGCAGACTAAATGGTCAGCTGTTTCAGCCGCACAGGTGCCATGTGCTCCTTGGTCCGCTCGGGGATTGTAACCTTTTGCATTGCACCTGCTCTGCCGCGTGGCGCTGCTTCATGTGCTAAAGTAGATTTGAGGTATTCCCCGACTTTGTGAGAACATGTACTCGACATAATTTGCAGTGCACATTACTCTGCTTCATATCCTCCACACCACCGACGTTTCTGTGCCAGTGTTGTCGACAGTGTTGTCATCTGTCTCATTTTCTTTTTGCTTTAAGCTTCACCTGTTAAAGTGCTATTTTGACGTGTAGCTGCAGTCTGCTGCTAAACACTTGTTTGCTACTTGGTTCTAATTCAGCACGTAATTGGTTCAGTGCAAAGCGGACCTGGGGCAAATCCCCTTTTCATTGGCTATTTGTATAGTCTACCAAAACATGGTAAAATGCCGAATATTGAAAAGGATATTGACCATGTTTCATATCGATATCATGGGAAATCAATTTTTGATATATATCATTATCGTTTTATCGTCCAGCTCTAGCTGGAATGATAAGATGCTGACACTGCAATAAAAACCGTCATTACTCTGAAGTGGAAGGCACCGCGTGGGTTAAAAATCAAAGTCTATGAAGATAATTCATCCCTGAATCTACTCCAAAGTGGGAACCTGTGATCAGATTTTGACCCTCTTTTTCGACTAAATTTCTCATCTATAACATCGATATAATTGAAGTTGTCAAGTCTAGACATTTATACGTGGAGAACTGAAGCTGCCTCTCTTTGCTAAGCCGAGTCAAATGTCTGATTTACTTAGAAGAGCCTGAATTCCCATCAACGTTTAGTATCTCAGCCTGAGGCTGTGCTTGACCTCTCCTTAAGCAGGTAGAGAGCGCTCCAACCACAGGAGCCTTATCTCTGTGTAGTTCTGCCCAGAGACTAGGATACCACTCAAAAGCACAAACACCAGTTAATTACCGGGACTCAAAGAGAGTTTCTCTGCTGGTGTCTGCTGTGACGGGGATTACAGATGAAGACCAAAGAAATCATCGAAAACCTCATTTCCACCTCCATGCTCGGTCTCCTCGTACATATTCCCTCTCTCCTCTCTCTGGCTGTGGAAGGGTAAAGGTAAAGGAGTTGTTTTTATAGTTGAGGTTGACCAAAGCCAAGCAGGTGATGGATGGGGAGTGGACAGCTGTCGACAGGCAGAAGGGACGACAGGGCGGCGAGTGCCCCGACGGAGACACACCTAATTCCCAGGTCTTATTTTGTCAATAAACAGCAGCCAGTGGCACTCAATTAGAGCGCTTTATTGACTATGCTGCCTGGCCTGTGTCAGATGTCAGCCGGTGACACAGCAGGATGCCCAACACTGACACTTTCTCCAAGATTACAGGAGCAGAGGAAATAAATAAAAGAGGAAGACGAGGGGGAGAAACGAGCGAGATTAAAGGACCTTAAAGTTGGCGTACTCTCGTCTTTAAAGCGTTTTTTTTCCTCCACTTCTCTGGTTAAGTCTCCGCGGAGGCCGGCTGAACATGTGCTCAAAATGTAAAAGCATAAATAAGAATCAGATATGTTAATTCTCGCAATAATTGGCAGCTTTCACTTTGTTGTCTTTCGTGTTTATTCTCGCCACAGCACAAAAAAAACTGTCCTCCACATCTCTTTCCTGAGAGCGAACAAATCCTCCACCCGATGTTTGTTTTCACTCATCTCTCCTGCAGTCTGTCGTCTTTTGTTTCACTTCAAACGCCGCTGCACTGTCTATTTTATTTTTTTATTTTCCTCCCATACAGGTGGAAACAAACAGAAACAGCAGCTTAGCCGGTTTTCCAAAGTAATTGGTTTGGAGTCATTCCTTGAAGAGGCGGCATTTCTTGACACACCGATGCTTATTTATTCCAGCTCTCTATTTACAGTCTTTTAAACAATCTGAAACAATAAAAGAGACATCTTTTTAACCTGCGGGGTGAACGTTGCGGTGGCGCTCAAACTTAAATCCTGGGGATCCCGAACAAAGAAAAACAAAACGACCCGACAAGACTCCGAAAATTGTGTTCATTAGCATTTCAAAAACGTTTTTCTACATTCGTCTCCTCCTGCTCCATCAAAACTTTCACAACAATGAAAGTGTTAACAGCGTGGCACGAATCAGGATAAAACAACAATTTCTTCATCTTATCCTCGACTTTTTCAATTCCATCTTCTAACTTTAGGTCAATAAGCGTTTCAACAGCGACTCCAATTAGAGCAGGAGAGTTAGAAGAAAAGTTGTATAATCACAGATTTGTGGCGGTAAAACAGGCCGACTAATCAGACACTATTGATGAGTTTGATAATTGAACTGGTAAAAAAAATCATTCTCTTATGATTGTTTTTTAAGAGAAGGGTGAGCTGAGCGATTTTGCTAAATGCTATCTCTGTTATTTGCGAAAAGAATCAGGCTTGGTGGTAATAGGTTTGACATTTGAAGCCTACATCTTATGAAAGAAGACAAACAGGACCGTAAAAAAAGAAGTCATGCAGCAAGTGTGAAGATGTAGATCCTGGAGTGTTTGAAGACGGTGTGAAAATGTCGAGTAGAAACAGAATCTGATAATTTGCATATCATTAAAAACCAATTTTTGATTGAAATGAATGCAAAGATAACGAATCGATCTTTCTCATTTTAAAGATTTGCTCATTTTCGACACTCTGCTTGAGTTTGGTAGTAGGGATTAGGGCCTGACTGATTTATGGGCGAGCTGAATAAATCGGCCGATTTTAGCCTGTTTGAGACTAATCGGTAATCGACCAAAACTCGCCAATATTTTCAGAAATAAAATGCTGAGAATAAGATTCGGTTTCACTTCGAAAATGTTCCGCCATTTAAACAGTTCCCTGACTTATCCTGTAGATGGCGCAGCGACCTCATGACAATCTTAATCCACTAATTATCCGTGGTCCAAATACATGGGGTGCACTAACCTGCTCGGCCGTCTGCGCACCCCTAAAATCTTTGATATAGGCACTGCAATACAAGCAGTCCATTCCAGACTCCACTCCAGCACTTCTTCTTCCAACATGTAGAGCCAACGTGATCACAACAACAGTGTGAACTAAGGTACTAACAAAGTAACATGTTGGCCTTTTGGCAGTATTTTTTGTTAAAGTGCGAAAGAGTCGTTGCAGCTGAGTGCAAAACTTGTCAGGTACAAGATCAATATCGGTATCGGCCAATTCTGAAGGCTACAATATCGGTATTGTAAAAGTTGTATCAGGACACTTCTATTCGGTAGCACAGGTGACCAGTTTGTGGAGTTTTG